TTAAACCAGTCTCCTCGACTGAGAAAGCAGCTTGCTTTACTTCTTCCTCCATTAGCGGATGAACTTCTTGGACATGACTGTTCCATTGTGTCGGGAGACAGTTTCTAAGGAAGAGGGGCCAAGGACACAGTCAGGGTCACCCCTTCTCCTTGTGTGTTAGGGCGTCCTAGCTACAAGTGCCAGCCAACCCTTCATGTATCTCTTGAGGGCAGGTGACTCTGAGGGAAAGAAGGGTGGAGTATTTCTGTCTGATAATATTAATGTTGCCAAGAAGTGCTGCAGATGGGCAAGAAGGTAAGATTTAAGGACATTGGTATAAAAGTTGTGAGATCTGAAAGCCAATGGACATTCTTAGCAACCTCACTGGGGTTCGCGCTGTTTTCCAGAAGCGTGGTCAGAGGTCAGCGGAGGTGCCTGGCACGGGAAGGGAGCCCCATTGCGCTTAGGGGAGCCCACTAGCAGCCCTTCTCTGGTCTATTCCAGAACAAATGCTCTGTCCTTGACACCGACACAAGCAGCAACCTCCCTGCCACCTGTCAGTGAACCCCTGCCAAAGTGTAATTGTACCAAGCTGTTGTGAGGAAACCTGATTTAAAAACGGCCTGGCAGGGTGGGGGCCGGCAGAGCCTTTTCATACCTGCTAATGAGGCCTGGTTAGAAACAGCAAGAGCCTGTGCTGGGGACGGGGAGCCCCAGTCCGCCGTGCTCTGCCTGCCAGAAGGTGACTGAGCGACTGACACAGCAGCTCTGAGGGTGTGGGCCCCGCACAGCGCTGCGCTGACTCTCAGCGGAATGTGCACGACGCGCCCTCCTTCCGGCGCCCAGCCGGCTTCCAGGTTCTGCAGCCACAGAAGCGCCTCCTTTGGCGGTCCGACCTTTGCGGGGGGAGCAGGGGGGGGGGTCTCGCCTTCCAGCCCTCTGGCTGGCTTTAGTTTAGGGATTAGGTCTTGGCTGGGAGGCAAACAATAAATAGTAACAAGAAAGGAAGAAAAACCCAAAACACGGGAGTCTGATTTATTTGATAACAATATGCAATATAATAACCATTGTCAATTTCGTAGTATCTCGTTTTGAATTCTGTATCATTGTTTTTCTCTCTTTAAGGTAAAAATTCTATCCGGAAGAGGCATAAAAAAAATCCAAAACACCGAAACGTACCTCCATGCCTTGTGCGCCCGCAGAGCTGGAACGCCGCACGGTCCTTTGTCGGTGCCCCTTGTACCCACGAGGTGCAATTACGGGTAGCACCCGCGCTGCGGCGGGAAAGACGCGGCTGCTTTGCTGAAACGGAGCGTTAGGGGGCGTCTTGCTTATTTCTGTATCTGGAACAACAACCTGCACTGGTGTTGTGCAAACTGCAAATAGCTGCTCTGCCCGTGTGACTTATAACAGAATGCTTTTGGTCCCGCAGGCCAGAAAGGAAAGCCAGTTGGAGCGGCTCCAACCAGGAGACCCTATCTCTCGCCTTCTCCTTTACACTTTCCTAAGGATAAATAAGGTTTCTTTTGTTTGGGTCAGCCTTGGTTATTCAGAACTTGAGGCATGGAGGTCTTCAGATGTGCCTACGCTGGATACGTCCCTGTCTGGAGTCTGGATCAGCAGCTCACAGGGACAAAGACTTGGTGTGGATATGTTGCTCCGTGTGACGGGAGGCTGTCAGAAACTTGATGGAAGATTTAAGAAATTAAGCCCTGACTTTTGGGGGGGTGTTTTGTGCAGTTTTAGAGGCACTGAGAGCATGTGGGATACAGCTGGTGGTTTCAGTTTTAATCAGAAGGCACAGTCACTTAGCCTGGGGAGGTGGCAGATGCACGGAGTATATTGGGCTGGTCTGAGGCTTGAAAGGGCTGGGGAAAGGGTCCTGGAAGAAAATTTGGAGGCTGTGAGCAGGGCAAGCAACCACTACCCAATTCATCCCCCCTAGGCTTAAAGTGAAGCTCCCTTTAAACCGACTGAGGTGCTGTCCCAGTGGCAGACGGGATGTGTGTGTCTGCACGGAGGTGCACACACAGAGCACGTTCGAGGGCTTCACAGGCTGGGACGTCTGCAGATAGAATGCAGGTGATAAAGCATTTCTGTCCCAGTAAAGGGTTTTTTTTGCCCCATATTGTGCCTGCCATGAACACAATTTTTGCCCCAGCAGCACATGTACAACTCTAAATCCAAAAACAGCTGACCTTCAGATATCAAGGCAGATGGCATCACACTCAAAGACTCTTTCAGAAGCTGTCAAGAATGGCCTCCTGGGCTGGGCGTGGAGTGCATTGGTAGAAGGGTGCTTAGTGGTAGAAGGGTGCTTACCATGCTTTTGGCTCAGGTTTCCATCCCCAGCATCAAACCAAATGCAACCAAAACAAAAGAGTTGGGAATGGTGGCATGTGCCTGTAATCCAAGCACTCAGACAGCTGAAGCAGGAGGACCGCTGAGAGTCTGAAGGCAGCCTGGACTATGTAGCAAGACTGTCTCAAAAAAATCAAACCAAACTAACAAACAAGTACAATAAAACAAAAAACCCAAAGGCTCTTAGAGCAAAGGCCAGGGAGACTGATATCCAACTCTATCCGGCAATAAGTTAAACAAGGTGGGCAGACTTTCCAGAAGCTTCACACAAAGCATTTATTTGGATAGGAACAAGGGAGGTTGCTCAAGCTACAGACTACTTCAGTGAAAGCACAAGGACCCTCTCCACCTCTGGGAAGCTCTTCAACCCCAAGGGAACCAGCCAGGGAATCCAGCAGGGTCTGAAGCACCTCAGGCAGTGTCATTGTCAGCTGGTGGAGAAGGCTGTGTTTTCTTTGAGAAAGGAAGTTTCTTCATTAGCTGAAAAGAAACACATGGGAATCAGAAGCAGTATGTGAGGAAAATCAGTAAAAATATCATTAACACGATTGTTGGAAAGGCAGATGTCTCATGATAAAGAACATGGAACCAGACAATTTTGGATTTTAAATTCCCAAGGAAAAACGAGGCAGGCGCAGTGGTGCACACCTTTAATCCCAGCTTTCTGGGAGGCTCAGACTGAAGGATGACAAGTTCAAACCCAGCCTGGGCCAGTCAGCAACTTATGGAGACACTGTCTCAAAACAAAATCTAACACAAAAAGGTTTTTAAAAATACCTGGGGATGTAGCTTAGTGTGAAGGCTCTGAGTTCAATCTTAGTAACACATGCATGCACACACACATGCACACATGTGCAAAGAAGAAAGGCAGTAGCAAGGCTTTCCCATGGTTATTAACTCTTGGAGACTAAAACCGCGGTTCCTGCCTTCTTAGCTGTGTGATCTTGGGCAAATGACCTAAGCGTTCTGAGATTGTTTCCTGTCTGTGCAAGGGGTGGGGCTGGGGGCAACCAGGAGGCAGGGTTGCACACCCACGGAGCACAGTAATTACCTAACTCCCTCCTCTTTGTGTTTGTTTAAAGTGACTTTTATATATTTACTCAGATGTTCATAGGCATCTGAAAGAGTTAGCTTTGTGAGGAACATCTGGCTTTTATAAGCAACAGAAAGCAATTCAATAAAGAGACAGCGGGAAAGAAGCTGGATGACACGTTTTCCATTTGGAAGGAGGGGGACTTGCTGCTCTGTGGCTCTCTTACCTTCCTTCCTTCCCAAGAAGGCTGTTAGGCTCACAGAGAGAGCCTGAGACCTGGGCTCCAGGGCCCGTTTTCTCACCTGGGCCTTTGCACTCTCTGGAACCATGAGGGGTTGGCCTATGTGATCCCAAACTGTCTCCTAGACCTGCCATCCTGTGCCACACATGCAGATATAAAACTATAATAAAAAATAAGCACATGGGTTTCTGGAAAGAGTTTGCAAGGAAGCTAAGCCCAGGGCTGAGGTAGATGCTTCCGAATCCCTATTAAAATGGTATGTGTGCTCATACATTCATGTGTGTGTACCTGTGTGCACATGTCCGTGGTTACGGCTGGCTGGCTGGCCAGCCCCTTCCCTGCCTCCACTATGAAACCTGGACTAGCACAGTGCTGCTTTCCCAGCACCACGGCAGGTCGAGGTGGTTACACAGCAGGCTCTGGGGAACAAGATGTAAGAGAAAGCCCACGGGAGGCCATCCGAGAACAGTCCTCCTCCATGGATGAAGGGAGGATCACTCAAGGGAAAGCCTTTTGCTACTCACTCTTTTCCCTTTTCTCTTGGCCATGAGGATGTGGCGTTAGGGGCTATGGCAGGTGTTTGGCAGCCATGGGTGACAAAGAAGACAAAAAGCCAGTATGTTGTGGTATGTTAAGGAGATGAAAAGAGCTCGCATCTTTAATGAGATCGTTAAGTGGCCTAAATCACCTGTTTTTGAGACGCTGAAATAAATATGGTTTATAAATATGGTTATGCTCAAAAGGTGGTCTGTAGAGACAGCAGTGCAGGTATCAGCAGAGTCTCGTGCCCCACCTGAGACCAACTGAAGCAGAATCTGCATTTACAAAACAAATGCAACCCCCAAAACAAATGAACCAACCCGTCCAGTTGTCTGGGGTGCACATTAAAGTCACATGTATATGGAGCCATTAATTAGCTCCTGTTATACGCAGCTGAAGCACTGCTAACAGCTACCATGTATGTTTTAGGTACATACATGTGTATATGCATACACAAACATATACATATCCTTACTATACACCTATATGTGTGTATGTGGGTAAATACGTATTATTTGTACGCGGATAGAAAAATCCCGGGACACAGCTGGGCTGTGGGAATGTAAAGGGGTGGGTTGGGGAAGGCGAGCTTGAAAGTCCCTCCCAGTCCCTCCCAGTCCCTCCCCCTCCCCCTCCCCCTCCCGTCCTCCTCACCTCCTCTCCTCTCCCCCTCCCCTTCCTCTCTCGCTGGGGATTTAACCCAGGGCCTCGCTCAAGTTAGGCAACAGCTCAACCACTTAGTCACGCTCCTTTTCACTTTAATTACTTCTCTACTGTTTGGAGACAAATAATTCATCGACCTTCAGGTGAAGACCCTTTCTTTAACCGCCGAGGGAGGAGTGGCGCCTACCCGCTCTCCGCCTGGTCCAGCAGCATCAGGTAGGACTCCACGTCCTTCTGCAGCTGGGTGCCGCGCGCCAGGAGGTGCGTGCGCTCGCGATGCTGCTCCTCGGCCTCCGCCCGCACCTCGCCGAGCTCCGCCTCCAGCCGGCCCACCACGGCGCCCAGGTTCTGCAGCTCCATGTCGTGCCAGTGCTTGGCGTCCTGCAGCGTGTTCTCCAGGCCCCGTTTCTGCAAGAGAACCAGCTTGTACACCCCAGGGCCCCTGGCCGGCCTTCCGGGGAGAGGGGTGCAGGTCCTGCCGGACATCGACCCATTGCCTTACCTGTACTGGTGGGGGTCAGGGTCGCAGGGCTCCTTGGGAAAAGAGGAGGGAGGGTGGGGTTGAGCGAACGTAGGGAGGGAGAGAGAGAAGATGAAGACAGAAAAGAGAGAAGAAGGGAGGGAAGGAGGAGAGAGAAGAGTGAAATGAGCAGAAGCAAGGAGAGGGGCAGAGAGGCATTTGCAGGGGTTTCTCCTTCCAGGACCCCCGGGGGCCTGTTCTGGGATTTCTCTTCCCAGCCTGCATTGCTCAAACCCCATCTACCCTTAGGCTAAAACACTCCAGCCTCTCTGAGATCCCCCCGCTGGAGTGGGTGTGGGTGGCCTTCACCTGCTCTGCACTTTTTCTTTGGTCTTATAGTAGTGCTATCGACAGCTAAGTTAGGTACCAGTATTACAGACAGACAGGGCTGGGCCCTGGGAGCAGTCAGTGCAGAAGATGGGAGCGCGTTCCCACTGGGGCTGGAGGCCCATGCATTGAGGGCCAGGGCTCCAGGCCTCCCCAGCGGACAAGCAATATGTTATAATTGGTATCACGTGGCACAGTAAAGTCTAGACAGACATCAGTCAGTCTTCCAGGTGCGTGACTAGGACCTCCTGACACATCGCTTCCACAAAAGGTCCTGGCTCTTTCCATGTACACTTGCTACCTTGCTTCCCTGTTGGGTCGACATTACCTGAGCAGCAGTGCTTGTAATCTTTTTGGCTGATCATAGTTTTGTCCTGCTTTGAACCCACCTCTTGCTTTTGCTCTATAAAACTTCCTTTGGAAAGTGGGGTCTGGCATAACCCACTTTCCTGTCTCAGGCAGGAGCTATCTCTCCCTCAATAAAATTTCCTACTCTTAACCTCCGTTGTTCCTCAGATTTTGAGGGATACAGCCTGGCCTATCAGACATCTAGCAGGTTGGGATCACAGTATTTCCCCTGTGTCATTTGGAGGTCCTACGTCAGTAGCACATCTTTGCTGGCCCCGCTTCCTCTGCTGCATTGTGGAGGGTTCCCCACTGGCCGCCCTTGGAGCGGTGACCCTGGGTGAGCCTGGTTGGTCTCCAGCCAACTCAGGATTCTAACGCCCTCTTTAGGCTGAGGATGCCTCCTGCATTGCTGCCCCCAGGACAGCCTTCTCCCCTACACTACGGAACTGCTCCTTCGGCTTCTTCCTGGAAACACACTCAAACCAGGGTGTCCAAAATGGAGCCACTGTCTTCCTTCTGAGCCAGCTGTCCCCTCCTATTCGGTGCTTTACCTGGTAAATGTGCTGCAGCTAGAAACTAAGGAAGGATTGTCCTTGGTCTTCCTTCCCTTCTGAACACTGTCCTCACTCCCTCTGTGTAATCTGAGTTCCACCGCCCGTATGGCCTGGGAAGCTGCCACACTCACAGCCTCCTCTCTGGATGTAATGGCATAGCCTGGGGCACTTAGCACCTTTCACCCGGCATCAGCTCAGTGGCCTTTTGGTTCATCTCCCTGCTCCTACTTCTTGTTCTCCCCACACCCCTCACAGCGAGCCCATGCCTTGTCCAAAGTCCAAATCTGGGCTTGTCCGTCCTCTGCTTCGAGTTCATCACTAGCTCCCAGGGACCCTAGCATGGCGCGCTCTTCACTCACTTGCAGCAGAGCGCATGAGTGCTTCCAGCCTTGGAGTTTATTGGGCTCATGCTGTTTCCTACACGTGCTCCCCCTGCCGTCTTCCATCCCTTCCAGCACACTCACCGGCTCCCTCACAAGCTCATGCTTGCCAGGCAGGTGCTGTGCGCTGAGCTATACCCCTGGCCCTTCCTGGCTCACTGTTCCTCATTTTCAGATCCACGGTCAAGAATCACCTCCCCCAGGAAGCCTTCGCTGACACACCTCCTCCGCTACTATCACAGCGAACGAAGCTTGCTTGAGGTGTGAAGGAAACGAGTCTCTATAACCTCAGTGCACTGGGAAGGACCTGTACAGACTAGCAGCCTGGTACACACAGGTTGCCCAGGATGAAGATGCTGAATATGGTTACTTGTATTGCCCTGTCTTCCCAGGAGAATGGAAATCTTTATCTTCTCCTCTTTCCATATGCCATGTCCTGAAAACTATAGTTGGTCAATAAACACCTTTAAAAACCTGTGCATATCTATGTTTAATACTTTTACATAGTCTAAATTATAGTAGATTTATAGATAAGTATCTGGCTTTTGAATATAACACATGCAAACATAAGAATATTTTTCTAAATTGGATTCATTCCAACCTTGATGCAACAAATTTCTGTGTCCTACCCTCCAGAAGAGAGTTTTTCAAATCCCTTTGACCACTGTTGCTGAAATGGAGGATTCTCTGTCATGGTGCCATCTTGAACTGTAGTTGTAAAGCAGAGGTCATTATATTATCCTACGTAAGTCTTCTAATTCCATAGTGTGTGAGAGTGTTAAGTAGGAGTCCTAGTATAGGCACATTTCAGGAGGAAAAATATTACTAGAAAATAAATCTCTATCAATATATGGTCCAGGGTTTTGTGTGACTACGGCCCCCTGCAGGCTCCTCTATAGCAGTGAGGATGCAGAGGCTTTGAGACTCATTTGTTCCAGTCCCCTGGGATCGTCTCCTTCTGTTTGTACATGAAGTTGTTTGGTTTGTGAGTAGTTGTTGATGTTGGACTTATAACACTTGTGATTTGGAAAAACTCTTCATACAATTATGACTGGATCTTCTGTCTATGGCTTTCGCTTCATATTCGAGGTGAGTTCTCCATGCAGCTTGAGGGTTTTCCTTGATGACCTAGGGGACACAGCCCAGCAGGGCATTTGTGGGAAATCCTATCAGAGGTCCTACGTGTCTCCATCCCACCATCCAGAATCCATGGATAACTTCCACACCTAAGCCCCTGTCCTGGCAGAAAGAAAGGATGCCTGGTTATCCAGAGATGCTTGAGCTGGAGCTATTGGCCAGGCTACTGCTGCAGCTCTCAGAACCCTGGCCTTTGTTACACAGGTAGTACCAGCAACAACCTGAGTTCACAGGAACACACTCCCCAGGCCTCTGGAGACTTGATGGGACTTTCTTGCATTGCTAAGCCCTCTAGAATGTAAAATACTGACCTCCTACGACTTCTGGGCTCACATTCCATTTCTGATTTGATAACTAAACACAAAATTCATTGGTCTTCAAGCACCCTTACAGGTACTTGGCTTCCAAGACAGAAACACCATAATGGCAAAGGGGGTGGAAAATCTTGTCAGACTGACTGTGGGAGGCTTGCATGAACCGTGGGGGCCTTGTGTGTGCACGGCTTGCCCTGCCCGAGGACCACGGAGGTGCCCTGTACCAAGGCTGTTACCTATTCTGGCTCCATCTGTGTTCCTCCTCGTCTCGGCTGCCAGGGCCAGGAACAAGGACTGTGACTTAGTGGAACCTGCAGGGGACACAGCCTACCTGCTCTCTGAGTTGTGATGAAAGCCACTGCTTTCATCTTCTTGTTGGGTGCGTGAGTTCTTTTTCCATTTGTCCCAATAGGTGGGGTTTAAGCAAGGTGCCTAGGTGACTAATGATGCCAACTTGGGGCTATTGAAGTGGTGATTAAATTTTATATGACAAATAATAATAGAGGACATTATTGCCTGCTCACTCCGTGCCAGGAACGGTGCTAAGGGCTTGACACACGTTATCCAATTAACCATCCCAGTGACTTTATGAGGTAAACGCTATTCTGCTCGTCGTCCGGTAGATCACATTTCCCAAGGCAGCTGAAACAATTATCGCCATCCCACACACGCATTCTCAATGTGACCTTGCCACTGTTCCATCAAGAGAGGGAGTTTATTTTTCTTCCTGTTAAATCTGGCCGGTCTTGTGATTGGTTGGACAAGAGAATGGGGTATAAGTGACATTCAGAGACTTCCAAGCCCAGCTTGTTAAGAGGCCTGGTTTTACAGCTTCTGCACTCAGTGTCTGAGGGAAGCCCAAGGCTGTATCAGAAGCCGCACCACTGTGAGACCCCACAAAATGAGGGAACCCAAGCTGGCTATGTGGAGAGGTCACACAGAGCCACCCAAAGAGGTGCACAACTGAAGCCCCACACACGCGTTGAAGAAGCCATTGTTGGGTGTCCCAGCCCCGGGAGACACTGTAGAACAGGAGAAGAGCTGTCCTCGCTGAGCTCTGCCTGTGTCATAGAGGAAACAAGTGATCCACTGTTGTCTTAAGCCAGTAAGACAGCGGATATGAAAACCTAAATAGGTCCTTACTGGGACAAGTGAGAAAAGAAAAACTTCGAGGGGTCCCACAGCCAGTGAATAGAGGAGCCAGGGTTTGAACCTGGGTACCAGTCCCCACTTCCATAGGACTGCTGGGCCTAGGATAGTAGTAGAGTCAGACGTAGATTTTGAGGTGGATGGGGCCTTTCCAGACCTCTGTCCTCAACTCTGCCCAATTCTAGTTACCCGTTTCCCCCGCTCCCACCGTGAAGTCAGCCTTGTGACTCCCACAGTGGGGTGATCTCCTCACCAGCCACCTGCTTGCACCAAGAGCCTTCTGGTTCCCATGGTTACATTAACTCCTCTACTGAAGTCACATCGACTTCTTGGGGGCAGGGACCATGTACAATTACTCTTATGTCCCCAAAGTACTGGGCATGGTTCCTGGAGCATAGTAGGTCCTTTCAAGTGATACAGTGGGGTCAGAAGAATGTGCTTTCATGCATTCTCTCATCAGACCTTCATAGACAAACTGAGAAGTGGGGTGGATTACGACTGTCACCCTCATTTTGCAGAACAGGAAATTGTGTTTTGGAGATTTGCCCACTTACACAGGTGATAACTGGAGGAGCTGAGCCCTCCTGACTCTATTACTCTCACTTTTCTCCCCTCAGATTCTTTCCTCATCCTCCCACGCACTGGCCCAGAGCCTGTCACGAGCCGCAGTGAACTCCAGACCTCAGCTGCACAAGTATCATACTCACTGACCCTTTCACCCTCTGCTATGCACCAACACACTCTGCTATGATTGTGGGTAGGGTAGAAGTGGCCTCCTTGGAGGAGACCCCAAGAACAGCGGTGCCTCATATCTACCTAGCAGACCTTTAGTCCATGCCAGAGAACAGAGTGTGGCTAGCTGGATTATTCGTACGGTTGTCCCTTGGTCTGTGGAAGATCAGCTTCATGACTCCATGGCTACTCAAATCTGGATGCCCAAGTCCCTTACAGAAAAGGGTGTATTATTTACATGTAACCTATACTATACTTCTATATAGCTCTTAAATCTCTTTAAACTCACTCTAGAATGTGAATACCCAATACCATGTAAATGCTACATAAACAGTTGTTAAGGAATAACAATAAGAAAAAACATTTGTGCATGTTTAGTACAGGTTTTAATTTTTTTCCTTAGGTATTTGCAATCCAAGGTTGGTTGCATCTACAGATCTGGAATCCATGGCTACAGAGGGCTGACTGTAATTACTTTAATTAGTAATGATTAATAATTGCAAGAGACTGTTTGGAAACTACAGTGAGTGTGAGGAGCTTACTAGTGGGTTAGGTTGGGTTCCCCAAGAGCAGAGCCCGAGACAAGGATCTTGGAACTTATAAATAATCAGGGGATTTTTCTCAGAAAAAAGAGGACAGACCCAAGGAAGGTGCGAAGCAAGGATCTCAGCTGGAACCAGGCTACAACTCTGGAGAGTGAATTGCTTGCTTTGAAGCAAGTGGGCTGGCTTTTAAGTCCCTGTCAATCAGTCACTGTCTGAGGGCTGCAGGGAGGAGGAGGCCTGACCTCCTGGGCCAGAGTCCTCTGTTTGGCTGAGGGCACTTCTGGGGGAAGTGGGGCAGCCAAAAAGGGACAACTGTGGGTGTTTGCAGCCAACGTTCTAGCCGCGGCCAGTAGGCAACATTTTGATGGGGCACTGCAGTGTCTACTACCCTTGTTCTGATCCAGCACCTGATGGTCCTCCGGAGTCAGTGGACATTTCAGGCCCCCAAATCATATCCTGTGGGATGAGGCTCCTCTGCAAACTATGACTCATACGAATTTTACAATTTGGAGTTAATGTTAATACAAGAAATGCCAGAGCCCTTCTTGGTCCACTCACCAGTGCCCGCAGGGACTCCGTCTCGGCCTGGAGGCTCTGGACTTGGCAGGAAGTGTTGTGTAGCTCTATTCTGAGGGCCGCAGCCAGCTTCTCTTCCTGGGTCTGGGACACGCAGGCCACCTCGGAGTCTTGCTGTGAAAAGTCAGGTTTCAGGGTGAGCAGGGACAGTCCAGGCCCTGAACCCCATTCTGAACCCCACCCTTCCTTCTCCACCTTTCTAATCTATTGTCTCTGAGCAGAGGAAATTTATCTGTCAGAATTAAAAGCCCCCCTCTTCTGAGGCCCACTCACCAACTTGCATACAAAGAGTTACTTATTTTGACCATGTAATGCCTGCAGACGGAATAACAGTCAAAAACTTCCTAAATCTCCTTTCTTTCCTATGTGCTAACAAAATAGTTCACCTGTTTTCAGTTTCTTATATTTCTATCCAGAAGTACTTCAGGTACAGTCCTGTGGTGATTAGCACTGGAGGCACATCCTGAGAAGGTGGTATGGGGCTATTTAGTTGCTATGTGAACACCATAGAGTCTGCTTGTACAAGTGAAGATGGCTAAGGTGTTGCTAGGTGACATAATCTGATGGGCTACACTCCACATTCAGCCTGTGATTGAACAAAATATCATTATGTGGTACATAGCTGTATTAATAAATAGTATTTCCCCTCCCTTGCTTTGTTATAGCACTTGATATATCTTAGTAATTATTTTATATCAGTATATAGCTATTGATTACATTCTTTTCAATGGCTGCATTGCATTGCCTAGCTTGGAAGCACCATAATGTATTTAGAAGGCCCTGCTGATAGAGACTTAGATTGTTTCTAGACTTTTCTTATTATAGACAATGGTGCAGAGAATGCCCTTACATCCTCATTTTTCCCTCAAGGGTGTGCTTCTGCAAGTTAACTCCTGAGGTGGACATACTGATTTCACAGGTAAATATTTGTGATCTTGGTGAATGTTTCCAGATTGTCCTTAAGAGAACTTGTAACCCCTGCACTGCACTGACAGATGCACCGTTGCCCCCACATCCTCCTCAATCAAGGACTGCAGTCCAGTGGTCCCTCTTTCCTCAGAAAAAGCAGTGTAGTTGCAATTGTGAAAGTCTGTGCTTTGAACCCTATCTCCAGAGCAAGATGGACAGATTCTGATTCCTCTCCAGGCATCTAGGGAAGCAGGTCCTCTTTGCTGGGAAAAGGTGACAAATGAGGGATCACCCTCACTTCTTCAGTGCAGTCTGATGGAATGTCTCCTAGCCAATGATGGAGGAGGAAAAAGACCTGTTTTCTTGCGTAGGTTACTGGCTTTCTGAAATTACCATTTTTGCTGCATAATGACTACTTATTTCTAGAAGAATGAAAAAATAGTCCAATTTAACTAATGAGCTAAGAACGCCCAAGTCATGTCTCAGTCATAGAATCTTCAGTTCTTGTCCTTAGAAGGCTGCAAACAACTTCACAAAATGACCACTAAAGACTTGCGAATGGCTGCAGGAGTGCAGAAGCTGGGCCCCGCTCGGACTGGCTGGCCAAGGGCTGTGAGCTTCTGGACCAGCGTTCACCTCCCAGAGTCCCAGCCCTGCCCACAGACGACAGCAGAGGAGACTGGTAACCAGAGGATGACTCCCTTCCTGGCCACCGTGCAGCAAAGCCCACGATATGGAGGCTTTCAGAAGATTAAAGTCACACATGCATTGGCTACATCAATTTTTACATGTTAAAAATAACAGTAGCCAACACATGAGTTTGTAAAGGCCATGAGGAGTTGGATTCTACCACACAATTAACATGTTTTAGGCAGTAACTCTGAGCCAAGCACCATGTTAAGAGCTTTAAATCCAGCTTTTCCTTTTATCTTTATAACATACGAAGCAAATGCCGTCATTACCCTTGTTCTATGTGAGGAAACTGAGGCACAGAGATAGAGTGATTTGCTGAAGACCCTGGGGATGCAGCTGGAATGGACGTGCAGCAGTAGAACCAGAGGTGCCCTCTTAGCCGGGGTACAATGTGGTCGCCTCCACCAAGCCACCTGTTTCAGACCCTTGAAGTTAGAGGGGTCTTCCCCTAAGTTTAGGTGAACCACATTGTAATGTGCATTGAGTTACATGGGATCTTGTGAAAGTACAGGCTGTGACGCTGGGGGTGCTGAGAGGGCCCAGAAATCCGCATTTCCCACTCCCAGGTCATGCCTGCTTCCTGGAAGCAAAATTCTAGATTGCTACAGAAACTTACAAAACAGCCTTCCTTGCTATAGACAGAGGATAACTAAAAAGTTGATAAAATTGTAACAAATCAGTGTTTTTAAATTCTAGCAACCACTGCCTGCCAAGATCCCACATCTCACCTTCTGCTCCTCTCTGTGGAGAGGTAAGATTAATAAGAATAACGGAAGTGTGAAAGATCTATCAACAGCAAGTAGAGGCTTTGCTCTAGTTCAAGGTTGGACGAGAAAAAGTAATTCATTCAATTACTGTGAGTTCCAGTATCATTTAATATTTTATTCTTTCTGAAATCCATGTGGCACAAGCGTTGCTTGCTAGTTAATATCTTTACCTCACCTAAAGTACTACATGTTCTTTTCCTATGGCTTTTCAGATTTATGCTTTCTGATTATTATAACAACTCTATTTTGATTTCCATTTTAATCCAGTGCCTCCAGATTTCTCCTCATAGACCAAAGAGTGGGCCCCGAGGACAGGGAGGTAGGACTGTGTTTTCATGCTCAGTAGCTGTCTGGGTGTGTGATGAGATTCAAAGTATCGATCCCCACGTTTTAAAATCTGCATGGAGAGGAATGTCAACTATTCAACATGGAGGCGGAGGTCAATAAGCTGGAACGGATGGGCCCAGGATTTGAGGCCAAGACTCTCAAGTTCCAGTCGTCCTGAATTTGAATCCATTTCTTGTTCCAGAAAGCTGACTCTGATCTGGATTACATTCAGTATAGGCTGGAATATGAAATCAAGACTAATCATCTTGATTCAGCAGGAGAGAAAAATCCAGTTATACTCTTAAAGGAATTGTCAGCAATAAAGTCTCGATACCAATCTTTGTATGCACGTTTTAAACCTGTTGCTATTGAGTAGAAAGAGACTAAGAGCCGCATTTATACTACTTTGAATAAGACTATGACCATGATACAAAAACTACAAAAGCAAACAGACGTGGAGCTGTTGCCACTGACTGAAGAAGAAAAAACTGGAATAGGAAACTCAAAATCTCACATGCCACACCTATGAAGAAATGGAATTGCAAAAGGGAACTCTAACGAAGAAGAGATTAATTCCAGAGCAATACAGAAGGATGTCTTGTGAACAGTTCATGAGTAGAGGTGGGGGGTGGTCGAGGAGGAGGTTTGGTTTGAGTGGCAGGGTAGTGATGCCTTTCATAAGAGAAGGATTAAGAAGGGCAGATATTATATTAATAAAATTCAGCCAAAGGATGGAGTGGAAATAAAAGGATTTAAATATATATACATATACTTGGTTTTGTGATTTTAAGTAAGGAAGTCCCTTAATACTACTTTGTATCTGTTTTTGTATTGTTGGGATAACAGATGTTCTGGCCTATCATAAAAGAACATTTGTATATGTTAGTCTGTCATTGAGTGAATGTGCATTGGCAATTGAAATACACTATAAGCAAAATATTTGTATTATACATTATACATAGGTATATAATTTCATTTTTGAAAATACTGATGGCAGGCAGGATTCCATTATTGGTGAGACCACTAATATGTGATGTGTAGGCCTTCATGAAGTTTAATATAATATATTGGCTTTCGTGGAAAAAAAAAATCTGTGTGGGATCTTGGCTTTACTGTACAGGGGCTGAGCTGCTCATGTTTGCACTCTACCTATATTTCTGGGGCAGGAGGGTATGTTGACATTTAGAAACATGATAAAGATTGTCAAATTTCAATATCAAGTCACAACCACGTTTTTGAGAGTCTGGCTATTGGAAATACAAAGAGGAGAAGCAAAAGAGAAAAGAGCCGTCTCCAAATCTGAGCTGCTTTGCTCATTCTCAGTGCCATCCCTGCAAACAGCCTTGGGCACGACCCTGACTTGTGATGTGAGGGGAGGGTGGGCTCCTACGAAAAGGCAGAGTGTGGAGATGGACGCTCCCTGGCCTCTGAAACAGTAGGCACATCTTGAAAGGTCATGGATTCCCCCTTCCCCTCTCCATCCCTCCTTATCTCCTTTCCTTTCCTTTTATTTTTCCTTTTGGTACTGGGGATCGAACAGGGAGCCCTGGGCTACATCCCCAGCCCGTTGCATTTTATTTTGGGACAGGGCCTCACTACATCGCTCCCCTGGCCTTGAACTCCCAGTCCTCTTGCCTCAGCCTCCTGTCCGCTGGGATTATGGGCGTTTGACATCATGCCCAGCTCTAGTTCTGCTTCTTTCTAAACATGTGACCTTGAATAAGCTACCTAATCTGTCTAAGCTTCAGTTCCTGGCTCTGTACAGTGGATAAATTCATCATAGCTGCCTGGATGAAATGAGAGCATGCCTACGCAGTGCTCAGAACGTTCTTGCTGAGTGCTAACACATGTGGCTGGGACTGCTTCTCCAGGGTGTCTCACTCTCCCTGGTAGAACAGTGGCCTTTGTCTATCTCTGCGTGGCTCAACCTCCACATTAGATTGTGGGCGCCCTGCGCGCAGGGCCACTTCTTCCTTTTTACCCCCTGGACCTACAGGGCTCTGTGTACCCAGGACATGCTCAACAAACCTTTGTGAGGGTTGAGTGTGTACCAGGCACGTGCTCAGGACTCTAGAAGAGAAGGAAGAGCTACTGCGACTGGAGTTAAACCAAATCTCCCTTTCATTAGCAGCATCGGCTGCCACTGTTACTGTTATTACAGTGGTTGTAAATCACTTCACGATCACTCGGTGTTGTGTGCTGTTTAGTTGAGGAGAGCTTTGGGCAGGCAGCACACGTAACCCCCACGGCCCCTGGCCTTTGGAAGGAGGACGAATGCCACGCAGCCTGTGACACCAGGCCTCCTGAGTGGGATCACAAAGCGCGTGTCTCTCTCACAATCTGAAACCTCAACATTGGCAGAACAGCTGGCCTGGCTGGGCGAGGCCAAGTTTCTCCTTGGGTTTACACAAGAACCGC